CTGAATTTGTGCTCTAAATCAGATTGGAGCTCTCTTGTGTTAAGAGATGTAACAAAAAAGTCGAGATGACCTAGAAGTTAAAGATTATTTTTGTTTATTGTGTGTAATCTCGCATAAGATTTAACTTTGTTTACCTAGACGCTTAGGTATTTACAGGTTGATGGCTGCTGTGTCTGGTTGTGCATTTTGCTTTATCCTGAACCCATCAGCAATAATTTAGAGTAGTAGCACTGTAATGCCAGTTAAAGATGTGTTTACAGTGTCGTACAAGCAATTCCTAAATTAGCGTTCATAATAGTTGCAGCTGCACACCTCATTTTTCCTGCTGCTAGTAACGTTGTCAATGGAACTTTTTCAGGCTGCACATTTTGGTGTTTCATTATTAATCACTGTTCACTATGGAGCTTGCCTGATTTCTTTCATCATCCAGTTCAGTGCAGTTATATTAGTTTCAGAACACACAAAATCTATCATGAAAGGCTTGCTTGTTTCTGGATAGTAAGCCATCTTAGTTTTATTCTTGATGTGTCATATGTGGTGACTTTATGAAGGTTCCACAGACTTCAGTGTCATTGTAGTACTTAGGTGACTGGAGACAGTATTCTCATTAGAAAAGCTAATTAATTCTTAAAATAATGACCAAGGTATTGAAATAAGCAGCTGCCATAACTATGTGTGTCTATACAGGGCTATGCACTTTCAAGGTTTGAACAGTGATGCTTAGACATTTATTAAAAAAAAAAAATCAGACCAAGGCTTTTTGAATAGAGATTTTGTTTTAATCTTGTTTCCTGAAGTTCCTATAAAGTGTGCTCTTTTGACGGAGTATCAGTCTTGGCAAAGCTGGTAAAGGGAGCTGGTAATACCAGCGAGTTAAATTGTCTATTTCTACAGCTGCTTTTATTTTGAAGATAGTTAGCTTGCACATTTTCTTTCTGCGTTATAGACCCAAATGGATTTCTTTGTGTTTCAGGAACACACCTCATCCATTCATCAGTGTCCTTGAAAATAGACCTGATTGCTGGCCAGTTCTGCTGCAGCAGATAACAGTATTTTTCCATCAGTGTCCGGAGAGGTAAATGAATAATGAAAAAATAGCAAATGTAGATAACTGAATCATACCAGTGTAACTTCTTTCTTGAAAGCAGCTGCAATGAGCAGTAAGAATTCTGTAATTATAAAATTTAATGACACCATTTAAAGCTTAAAAATAGGCTGTTAATAAAATACTAGAATAATCCATCAAAAATAGATTTTTATGGTTTTCTTCTTAACCTTTTTATGTTGATATAATATTTATAGATGTGGAAAAATTGGTGCAAAAATGATAGCACTTTTGAAATTTTTAAAAAAAAATAAGTAATTTTTATTATTTGCTTTGTCAAGATTTTGACTACTTAGTCAAAAAAGATTGCTAGTATGCAGGTATAACTCAAATATACAAAATGATGGGATGATAAAAGAGAATGCACAGACAACTATATCTCTCAGTAAAGGATGAGGTCCTTAAAAATGATGTATGCCTCTTGATATGAAAAAAAAATTAAAAATCGGTGGCACAGCCTTATTATAAAATATCTTTGACAATGAACAAATATCCAAGCTACCAACAATTTAAACATTTCTTCATGCTTACCTCCAAGGAACTTGTCCAATAAAGCTTCAGGGTAAGATATCAAATGCTGTAGCAGCCTTAAAGCCAACTGTTTTCAGTAGTTTTACACATGTATGTATGTTTTTCAGATAAAAAGTTTCACTTTTCTCCTATCTTCTGGAAGACTTATACAAATCCAACAGAGTAATAGTACAGTGAAACAAATAAGTTTATTAATCTCTTAAGTTTCTAGTGAATACCTAGACTACCCGATTGCTACTAAGAATTTCAAGCAAAAGTATATTTTGTTTTGTTTAATTTAATTGATTGGAGTATTTTTAAAATACTATTTGCATATTTGTTCTTCCACTCAACTGCTAAATCTGGGACTTGTGAAGCGTCCTGTCAGATGTCTGAATGATGGAATGAACTGTGTATTTTTTGCTGGTGGCTTGTTTTGAATTAAAACAGGAGTTGTTCTTGCCAAAAAGGAGGATATCTTTTAACTCCCTTTGCTACCTTTTGTGCAAAGATTTCTGTGGAATAAAGTTGTAGACTGAGAATATAGAAACATTGAATCGTTTAGATTGAAAAAGACCCTTAAGAACATCAAGTCCAACCATTAACTAAAACTGCCAAGTCCACCACTAAACCATGTTTCTAAGTGCAATGTCAACAAGCACCACATACGTAGATCTATTACTCAGTTCTTTAAAACTCTGCATCAGGACAGAGTCTTGTTTAAAACTGACTTTCAATTTTGATTCCCTGTGTATTTGTTAATGTACTTATTACCTTTATTTGATTGTTTTAATAATGTCAAGAACAGCATGGTCAAACGAAAATAGTTTTTCTGTGATAATTTTTTTTACTGGGAAGCCATCTCCATTAAAGCACTTCCTGTTTCATGTAATTGTTTAAGACAACTGGGCAAAAACTGGCAAGGAATGGATGTCTCTCTTTAATTGAGATTAGGTTTATTTGTTTTGAAAAGATATTTCTGAATAATTTTGTCCAAATGCTACTTCATAATGACACACTAGTTTCATGACATTTGGCAAGGAAAGTAACTTTCTTTAATTGGTGAGATTGTCATAATTTGCAAGTACATATTGAATGGTATTAATTCTTAAATATTGAGTATCTTCACAATTGCACTTAATTGTATGGTTGCTGTATAAGGTCTCATGACAATACTTCATGCATCCTGTAAATTATTGCAGGGAATGTCATGTTGCTTGGGTTTTCCTTGTATGTTAAGTTTTTGGTAAAAAGCTGTCTTGACAAACTTATTTCTTGAACTGCAGTGCACAGAGTTCGTGTGTTGGCATAATGGCTCCATTTCTAAGATACCTGTATTGTGAACCATCTCAGTTACGGGAATATGCTGAACTGCGCATGGGTTTGCTTAAGATCTTACTTCAGCCCCGTGGGTCACAGCACAAAGAAACACCCTCCGTGCTGGAACACCAGATTCTTCAACTTCTGTGTGATTTGATTCCACACCTTCAGGTACAGTTGTTGCATGACCCCCACCTTTTACAAATAAATGCTATCAAAGCAATGGTAGCATTGTTATTGTTGCCTTTCAAGTGTGCAAGTGTAGCATTCTCTTCCATTTCCTATAGACCTGATTTGTTGGCAGTACAGAAATCTAACAAACTGTCTCTTTCTGGTAGAAGTTAAAATTTGAGACAGTGACACTTGTTAGGGACTAAGAATTTAATCTTTCTGTCCTCTTTGTTTAGGGGTCTAGGGTACTGGTTAATAGCTCTGCTTTGCATCGTGCTGTACTGTGACATTAAGCTTTTTTGTACTTATGTACCTTTTCCTTCCTCTTTAATATTAGAATAGCATCTTCAGTTTCAGATATATTCAGTCAAACATGAGGTGCATTGGTATTATTGCCGTAGGGAGAAGGTTTGATAATTCCAATAATGTAAAGCTAAATAGGCTTGATATGAGGATATTTGGTGGCATCTTCCTTCTGAGGAATTTTACTAGTAAAGTCTACTTTCGACTGCTAGCTACTTTTCACATTCTTTTGGATGAGTAATAAATTGTATTGTACACATTTATCTTGGTTCATGTCTACTCTTTATGTTGACAGGTACATGCTGACTTTTTCTAATAACGGGGACATTTCTGATTTTGTTTTGATTCTACCTGACCTGCAGTATAATATAGTGTCCTGAATGTATGACCATGCTTCTGACTTGGTAACATTTAGCCATAAAAATGGCACTGAAGAAGACTTATAAAATCGGTTATGAACTCTTCTTTCCACCATGCTTGTTGGCTTTTTTTTTTTTAACTAGAAGTGTGTTGCATTTTTTTAAACTCGGATTAATACTTGAATATTTTGGTCTTGCCTGAGATACAACTTTTAAAATAGAGAGGGAAATAGTTCCTTCAAGAAGCCTGTTTGATGGACTGCTTTATGTTCTGTTATTCCTTCTCTGTCTTTCTATGAACCCCAAGTTCTTCATATCCTTCCTTTAAGCTTAGCCTTATGTAATCCTCTGTTTTTTATAAATGCTGAAATGCTTTCTAGCAATTTTGTCTGACAATACCAACCAAGCTGTCAAAAGTACAGCTTGTTACCTGCAGACATTTCTGCTGAAAAATGCAGTGGACATGAGGCTTCTGATTAGAGCAGATTATTCATAGAATTTGCTCTAAGGGGAGAAAAATTGGGATGTTATCCTTAATGTTGGCTCCAGAGTTTGGACTGCAACAGCTGGGTTTGTCTGGAACTTGAATTTTCAAGAGCAGAAATGCTCTCATCTGGCATGTTAGGATTTTTGAAGCAACCTGCTTCTTGAAACCCCTTTACTTGGGATGCTGCTTTTGAGTATCACACTTTAGTGTTTCATTTTTGTAGTAAGTAGATTACGTGGTGCTCTAGAAGCAGATAACACCACTGCCTTTCTCTTTTGAGACATATGTTAAAATCTTGATTACATTACAGAGGAAATATCCTAGATCCTACTGTTTCCATTACAGGAATATTTATCTGCTATATGAAATCCCTACACAATTTGGTTTATGTTGCTGAGAGAACCTTGAGAGCTGAATTAATTTGCTCTTGCTTTTGAGGATAAAGGGATTTTTCTCATCACCTATCAAGAAATCTTTTTATTTGTTCATGTTTCTGATTTTACTTTAAAACATTAAATTGCAGTTAATCTATTGTTTTTTAGGGAAGTTGTATAGGAGAGTCCTGAGTTTAGTTTATAAGTGTGTTTCTTCAAAGTCTTAGTAATATTTGCAATGGAAACATTGCAGAGCTAATAGAACTAATTCTAAACTTGGGGAAGTCTGTTTAGATAGGGAAGGGGAACTGAACCAAAATGTTTTTTGGTCTTTGTTTTGTTTTTTTAACTACCTCTCTACAGCTTAAAGACTTACTGCAAGTTACAGAAGCCTTGTTTTTTCTGCAAGAGCTATTCCTCAGCCTACTGCGCTATCCTGTGTTTTGGAAAGTTCAGTTATCCCAGTTTTGTCTGCAACTGTTATGCTTCTGTGAAGTGTGTTTAAATGTAACAGGAGAATGCTCATCTTTGATCTCCTTAATAGAGGACAACTTTGAGCTCTTAAAAGAGGTAAGAGTTCATGAGGAAAAAAAATAAAGTAGTTGTATGAAATTTAAAAAATGTCATGTTTAAGGCAGTATTTAGAGACATTAATACATAGCATTAATCTGCAAGTGACCAGTGTTGTTTCTAAAGCTTCTGATTTTATTTTCTTCATTGAAGACCTTCAGAGGCAGCAAATTTAACTGCTTCTATATAGATCAGTCAACCTTTTAGTATGGGAGTTGGTTTAAACTGATATAAAATAGTTTGCACAAAGTAACAAATTAAAATGTTATAGTTATTTAGTTAAAATACTATTTTTACACTATTCATATCCTTTGTTGCATGTGCTGTGTCACTGTGTTTGCACTCACTGTGATTAATGAAGAAACTCCTTACAGAGTTTTGGTTATGGCCCATTTTTGCTGTTTAGTGCCACTGAAATATTTTTTCTTGCAGATATTTCCATCGGAACAGTGTATAATTGAGCTAGCACTTCTACTGCTACAAACTCCAGAAAGTCAGCAAAAATCTATCTTGAGTCTAGGTAAAGCTCTTCTTGTGAAAGAGGAATCCACATTCTTAAGACTGTGTCTTTGTTTCTTCACGTTTATGAAAATAAGCATTGCATTCCCCTGAAGATGGATTGGGTGGTGAAACATTTTTTTTATAAGCAGGGTTTTTACTGAATTTAAAAAGTAATATTCAACCTAATGGCAGTAAAGATAAATTTTCCTGCTACACTGATGTTTTCCATCAATTTTACTGTGTTCTAAACTCCCTTAATATTGGAACTTACCTGTTTGATTTTTTAGTCAACGATGGGATATTCTCAGCTGAGATTCATGCGTCCTGAATGGTTTCTGTTGATAGATCTTAAGAGCAGGCATGACAGTCATAGCAGCAGTTTGGTTGAGCTTTCGACTTAGCAGTTTTGTTTAGTGGAGTTATTCCAATAAAAGCAAAGGACTGTGCTACATTCCATGATTGTGTTTCTTGCTGCCATCAGGTACTTTACTATAACAACAGAAATGTATGGGTATCTTAATAGAACTGGGGTTTTACAAAAAAAAAAAAAATAATCTTTGTCACTTTAACTCCAGTGTGTACATACTGTAATGCTGGGAACTGTTACTTGGCTTGACCAGGGTATTTCCTAGAAGTGTTTGTGTCATGCCTAAAAGTACAAATTATGTTAGTTCTCTTTTCCCCTACATGATCTTTGTTTTTCCCCACCTTGTCTTAAATAGCCTACAAGCTCCTTTCCTGTTCAGAAACCCAAAACATCTCAACCACAGCCCTTACTTTGGTGATGCCTTTGCTACAGATCTTATCTTCTACAACAGTTGGGGACTGCCTATCAGTGGATGATTCTGGAGCTACCAGGCAGCAACTGGCTGTAAATCTTTTGGGAATATTACAGGAGGAAGGTGTGAAGGATAACAAGGAATTGGTAAAGTTCTAAGGTTTTTTCCTTCTTTTGGGGCAGATAAAGCATGCATTTTAACAATTTTGCTGCATTATGTGTAGCTGCTTGGAAAACACTCTACATGTGTGAGCTTCTTTGTGTAATACGTTGTATGGAAACACTAGAAAATATGTATAGTCCATAAAACTAGACTACTGGTAAAATGGAGGTATGTTTGTATGCTAGGTATTATTTTACTTGGGAGATGGGATTTTTTTTTTTTAATAGGGCTGTATAGATTAAAGAATTGACCTGCATTATTAATTAAGTAACAGGACTTAGTATAAAACTTACCATGGAACAGGCTGCCCAGGGAGGTTGTGGAGTCCCCTTCTCTGGAGACATTCAAACTCCACCTGGACGCCTTCCTGTGTGATCTCATTTAGGTTCCTGCTCTGGCAGGGGGATTGGACTAGATGATCTGTCAAGGTCCCTTCCAATCCCTAACATTCTGTGATTCTGTGAAGTATAAATACTTTGTCTCTTTCCGACTTGCTTATTCTACTCATCTGTATTCTCTTCATTACCATTGTATGTGACTGTTAGCTACCATTCTTTCTCCTCTGGCTGAAGAGATTTATGAAGCACATAAGTGTCACTTAAAAAAATTTCAGCTCATTATCCCGGATCTTTTTATCTATGCTGTTGTTTTTTGGTTTTACTTATTTAGTTACGTCCCATTTAGATGCCCTCCACACTTAGCTTAGCACTGTGTAAGGTAAGCTCCCTTTCTACTTTACACCCCCTCCTCAGTACCCTTGGGTGGGCCCATCTGGCCCCATAGACTTGTGAATGTCCAAGTGGCTGAGCAAGTCTCTAACCTGCTGGGTCGTGGGAGTTTCATTCTGCTCCTTGTCTCTGTCTTCTGGCTCAGGGGGCTGGGTACCCAGAGAACCCCTTGCATTACTATTAAAGACTGAGGCAAAGAAGGCATTAAGTACCTTGGCCTTGTCCTCGTCCTTTGTCACTATTGTTACCTCTGCATCCAGTAAAGGATGGAGATTCTCCTTGGCTTTCCTTTTGTTGTTAATATATTTATAGAAACATTTTTTGTTATCCTTCACAGAATTGGCCAACTTAAGTTCTAGTTGGGCTTTAGCCCTTCTCATTTTTTCTCTGAAAGACCTCACTTCATCCTTGTAGTCCTCCTGAGGTGCCTGCCCCTTCTTCCAAAGCTCATAGACCTTCCTCTTTTTTCTGAGATCCACCCAAAGGTCTTTGCTCAGACAGTCCTTCCCCTCAAAATTACGGATTTGCAGAGGTGTTTCTCTGTTGCTAATTGGTTCAGCCTGGGCTGGAGGTGGGTCTGCCTTGAAACTGCAGCGGACCAAACAAATCAAACACACTTTATCCAGAAATGACAATTTCATAATTGTATCCAGTAGAGATTTTTGGTTCCAAGTGATTTTGCCAGCCAGCCAGCTGGCATTATAGGTTGGTGAATTTTTCACATATAGCAATTGTAATGCATAATGAATAACCTAATTTTAATATTATTTTTAAAAGGTCTTCTAAAGTACAGGGGCATTCTATCGTCCATTAGCCAAAATAAATACATTGCATTGAACAGTGTGATTAAAATTAAATTCTATGGTTTTATGGAGAATAGCTTTTGCCATTCAAAATCTATTTTTCCCTGGTAATTTAAAGGTGAGTGGGCTCTGCCTTGCTGGAGTCCGAATCCCATTTTTAATGTTCATTTGGTGACCTCTTTTCAAATACTTTCTGGACCTGATTTTTATATAAATATTTTTCATCTAATTACTGCTTGCCAACTACTGTCTTGATAATGGAAAGACATTTCTGAAAACTTTGCATTTTTTAAGGAAACAAAGAATCAGTAGGAAAGAGCTGGTTTGTCTTGGATTAAGCTTTTTTGTTTTGATGAGAAACTTTGAACTTCCAGATTAATTTGCAGGAGCTTTAAAATACGTATACTTTTCCATATATAAAAAAAGAGTTAGGAGGATTCCTCATTTGTATTTTATTACTTTCCTGCTTCTATATGTTATCTTCCATGACTGCAGCTATAGAACATTTTGTTTCAAGAAGTGGAACAGTTAAACAAAAAATGTAAAGTGGAATTAACTTAAACTGTGGTGTTCTATTATATATTATCAAAAGTTAAAAGAATTTCCTTAAAATAATGTAGATTATACTTACACTTTTGTGATGCACCTGTTGTTGTCAGGAATTAAAACTTTTAACGTACTCCAGTTTTAATGTGTCAATTTTAGTCAGGAAGTAGCACTGCAGTTACCAGGAAGAACGGGCATGATGGATGCCAAATAAAGGGGCAGCTTCTGAAGAGGGAGTTAGCAACCCATTCAAACATCCTTAATGCAAGAATTTATATAAAGGATTGTAAAGAAATGTGTTGCAGTTTATTATTTACATTTATGGCATTGGGACCCTAGAAGCCAGATTTGTTTTGCTTGACAGGACTGGATTAGTTATGTTTTTTCTTTGTTCTTTCATGGTACCTTATTTGTTTGATTGAGAATTTTGTTTGTTTCACTTGTTCTCAGGTGTCCTGCAAACTCCTTTTTCCCATAACCAGCTCTTACACCTTATTGTATACAACCTGGAAGATCATAGAGCTCATGAAAGAGAAGTCTGCAGTTGCTAACTGGTTATCTTCAGTGAAATCACTGCTACCTGTTACACCTCAAGTCCCTGCCCATGTTTTTCTTCTACTGGCTTACCTACTGATACAAGAAAATGGAGACAGTCTTCGTGATGTACTCCAGGCTACTACGGAAATAGCCAAGGCTGATTGTTCTCAGGTGAAAACTTACTGTTAGTTGATTTTGTTACAGGAATTGGTCTAGATTCTTTAGCCTGAGAGAGGCGAGGCTGCCACAGCTTCATGACTCCTGGTCCTACAAGTGGCAGACTCTGTCTATTCCCAGTAGGTACAGGCATATGCAGCACACACATGCACCATATACATGTGCTTATATGTATACGTATCTGTAACACAGACAGACACAGCACTTACAAGAGCACAACACAAATCCTGCTTTCTGGCTGAGCAGGATGGATGTCTACTAGTGGAAATATATGTACAATGTATGGATTTGTATGATAGGTACAGAGTGGATCCCTCCAGCAATGCGGCATAGACAGTCAGTGTTTGCAGGATGTGATCCCTGGATCCCAGTCTCACCAGTTGCTGGCATCTGGACATACAAGCCCCTGAGGCCACAGCTCCTCTGCAGTTGCTAGTACAGACTGCCCCCCATCCTGCAAGGAGACATGCACTTACACACACACATCCCTGTGCACACCCCTGCACCCACTGTCTGGGACTCTCCTCGACCCTACATAGGCAGCTTGTGCTGTGGTCTCAACCTTAAACACACATATATATGCACATGCATGCATATGCTTCAAGCGTCACCTTTTGTGTACCACTTACAGCAAAATATGAGGTATGGCTCTGTTTTGGAGTGTTTTTTAGATGTTTAGGCTTAGAAAAAAAGACTGGTTTATTTGTTGATATTATCTAATAAGTATGAAAATACTACATGAGGAAGCTGAAAAGAGGTTACTAAGCCATTTCTGGTGACCTTGTAAATTATTCTCTGGGTTCTTTTGTGGTCACTGGAAGACTGCCAGGTCCTTTGTGATACCTGTATTCTTGCTTCTTAAAAATGTGTGCATAGTCTTTGTCTCCTTCAGTACTGAGTTCAAGCCAGAAATATGCAGCATGCTGATACTTAGCTACATAACCTGGAAAGATAAATGGGGATATCTGGAAACAGTAATAGGTAGGAGTCATTATACCAAAACAATCATATCTTACTTGTAAAGTAAAATGTAGGAAAGGGAGAAGTATTACTTCAAAACTCAGATGTGCCATAAAGACAAGCTTTATTTGCTTCAATTTTGTTTTTTTTTTTTAATTGTGTTCTGTCTCAGAGTTACTCAGACATACACAAGAGTATGAAAAAGATACAGCTTACAGGATATGTGCTTGATGACTTACAGTGCTGAGCACTGTCGTTCTGAGCCAAGGAAGCATTCCAGGATGTGCTTGCTGTTGAACATATACTGAAATGCTGTGCTAAACCAGGCTCGTTATACAGAGCTTTTGGAGATAACTGTATTTCTTAAACTGGAGAAGTTTTTAAATCAAGTGACAGCTTCATCTGTTGTGAATTGCTTGCTGTTAATCTTTTATGTCTCTTCTCATATCTCTTTCAGGCTAGCCATTTATTTTGTTGTTTTCTTGTATGGTTGTGTTTCATAATGCACTCACATTGATGCAGATTTGGGAGCATGTGATTTCTTTAAATTTTTTTTCTTGATTTGACTGATTTTTTTCTATTTTAACTTTTTGTTACTGTCTTTCTAGCATCGTATTCAGTCATACTTTTGTGTTGTAACTAGATTTTGTGAGGATTAGTTAATTTATATTTCGAGGCTGAAATGATGCTAGTTGCAGCTTTGTTTTCTGTCTTTAGACGCTTGAAAATTGTTAACCGCTGTATTAAAGGTAAGGGTTTGGTTTTTGGACAGTGTGTGGAAAAAGTAATTCTGACTCCTGTTCACACACAGAGTAACAGATCAAAAAGTCCACTTTTCAGTCTGGAGAAAATTGCAGAGTTTTGCTGTAGAGTTACTGATCAGGACTCTGTGTTGTGGACATGGGAAAATATGTAGAATCTGTTAATTTATGTGAACTGTAAGATCCCTGTTCTGAAAAAAAAAAAGTTAAATGTATTTCCATCTTAGCCAAACTAACTGTAGCTGGGTTTCCAAGAAGTGCGTAACCTCTAGACACTTTTAACTCATTGTGTTCCTTAACTACAGCTTGAGGAAAGAGACACATACAATACTTTGGAGGGAGGAATGAAAAAAAGGGACAGTTTCATTGATATTAAAAGGATTTTTCATTGTGGCATCTGTAGCATAACACTGATTGTTTTGTTTCTTTGTTTTTATCTGAAAGAATCATAGAACCATAGAATGGTTTGGGTTGGAAGGGACCTTTAGAGATCATCTAGTCCAACCCCCCTGCAGTGTGCACGGACATCTTCAACTAGATCAAGTCTCTCAGAGCCCCATCCAGACTGACTTTGATGTTTCCAAGGGTGGCGCATTTACTACCTCTCTGGGCAACCTGTTCCAGTGTTTCACCACCCTTACTGTAAAAAAAATTTCTTCCTTATATCTAGTCTGAATCTACGCCCTTTTAGTTTAAAAGCATTACTCTTTGTCTTGTCATAGTGCACCCAACTAGAAGTTTGTCCTCATCTTTCTTATAGGCCCCTTTTACGTACTGAAAGGCTGCATTAAGGTCTTCCTGGAGCCTTCTGTTCTCCAGGCTAAGCAACCCCAACTGTCCTAGCCTTTCTTCATAGGAGAGGTGTTCCATCCATCTGATCATTTTTATGCTCCTCCTCTGGACCTGCTCCAATGTCTTTTCTGTGCTGAGGACTCCAGAGCTGGATGCAGTACTCCAGGTGGGGTCTCACCAGAGCAAAGCAGATATGGGTGCAGCATCCTTAGAAGGGGTATAGCAGTGAAAAGAAAATTGCAAACGAAACTGAAGGGTACAGCAAACTTGAGCTGTCTGCAGCACATTTGTAGCACACTTCAAACCACAAGTAACATCAATTGAATTGAAAAAAGTTACCGGGCGACTTGCTGTTACAGTATGTCCCCTTCCTCTGTGTGAATTAAATAGGGAAGTGTCATGCTTTGCTCATTTCACTGTATTTTGAAGTTACTGTTGTCCTGTGCATGCTGTTATCGTTAAGCTAGTGTTATAGTTAGTATGATATTTCATCTTAGTGAATAGACAGGTGATTGCAAATTCAGATGACAGTGTTCTTACAAAGCCTGAACTGCAGTGTTGCTCATTTCTTTAGGAAGGACCTGCAAGGCTACACCACTTGCTGACAGTTGAAAATAAGAACACAATCTAGTTCCTAGACAGTTCTTTTTGAAGTATTTATTCAGTGTTGGTGTACTCCTTGTTGAATTGCGTGTAGAACAGCTGCCCTAAGATGTTACAAGTCTGACGTCAGTGGAAATACTGAGCTGTCAGAAGTTACAACTGATGCTTCAGAGTTAGGCATCTGGTAGAAATGTGCAAAATTAAGTGCTTTTTGTTATTTTCAGGATGTCTTTTCCCATTCTTACTTTGCCCCACGCTGGGTGCCAAAAAAGACTGTGGTGGTTTCACCCTTTTGTCTTACAGCCAAACACAGCCTGGTCTCTCAGTCCCCTGCCCCCCAGGGAGTAGGGGAGAGAACTGGAAGGAAAAGAGCAAGAAGAATCATGGGTCGAGATAAAAACAATTTACTAATTAAAATAAAATTATAATGATAACAAAAGTAATAACCATATACAATTGAGTGATGCACAGTGCCATTGCTCACCACCCTCTGACCGATGCCCAGCCTGTGTCAGACAGTGATCCTGGAGCAGAGACAGCCAGTCCCGAAACCACAATCCCAGAAGAGCAAGCTGAAGAGAATACCCCCATCTTCCGGTCAACCCTGGTTAATATACTGAACATGACATAACTTGATATGGAATATCTCATTGGCACATCCAAATGCCAGTTCTGGGTTTTGCTATTCACTACACTTCTCCCTCCCAGTCCTAATGCAGCTGTGAGCCAGCTAAACACTATGACCTTGGGCTCCAGCAGCAACTAATAACGAATTAGTTACTTTATCAACATTATTCTCATAAGAAATCCCATACTGAAACTTGAACTTAGTAGCTATTCTAGCTACTAAGAAGAACATTAACTCTATCCTAGGAAAATCAGGACACCCATTTAATGGTTCTTTCTTACTTTCTTAGAATGACTGTTATTTCCTTGCACATGGATGAATTCTTTCTCTTAAAATACAGATTTAAAATTCTCCATTCTGTTATAATCTTGTACTTCTTCTAAAGGATAGGTAAATAACACAAAACATGGGAGAATTAAAAAGCAGAACAAAAGCCTAACAAAATGTGAGCAAATCAAAATATCACAGTGCTCTTCTCAAAGCAAAAGATTATTTTGCACACAGCTGTGGCGAAAGGGCACTTGAAGCTACTTTTGCTGCTTCATTCAATGTTTGGCTTCCTTTTAATTTGTCATCTGCTCTTGTCACTCTGTTTAACTTCAGATACCAGTGCTGTGTGTTGTTTAAAGCCTTATACTGAAAAACACTGAATCACAAAGGCTCTGGTGGTCTGTGACAGGGAGAAATAACTGTGTTGCACTAAGAGTTCCTAGGTTACTTTTCCTGACATAGAACTCCAAACAACATATGCTAGGAGAGCCATTTACCAAATGGTGTTGGTGTTTCTGCTGATCACTAGGTACAATGACATGCTTTATGGAATTAGCGTGGTGTGGAGTTAATTCAGTAAGTTGTTACTTAACTGTTTTGAAAGAAGTGGAAGCCTTGAGCATTTTTAACCCTTTCTTAACAAGTGGCTTTATGCTTTTTAAGTTAGGATCTTAAAACCAAAACAAAACACATTCTCTTCATTGAAAAGTGAAGGAGACTGTAGGTTTGAATATTGTTTCTAAAAGTACAGGTTAGTGTTCTGAAATCAAGATACAGGTTTACCTTGGTCATCAGATTCACAGCTAGAAAAATGTTTTCTGTGTTACTAACAAAGGTTTCTGTTAAGAAACATTTCATTCATGGGTTTGTCATCAGAGGTCTGGGGCTTTGGGCTATATGCGCTGTAATGGATTTGAGGGGTGCATTGTATGAAGTATATTGCCAGTTAAGACTTTTTTTTTAACCAATTCTAGTACAGAAGTGGCCTTACCATATGCTATTTTAGCCCATGCTAAAAGGTTTACTTACTGTGCTGAATACAAAGCTTTGGGTGCATTAAATATTGACCATGTTATTTAAGTACAAGTTGGAAAGCTCATAGCATAAAAGTAAGCAATCTCAGTGTCTTATCACTGGAAAAAAAAGGAATTCTTTAATAAGCAGGCATGTTAGGAATAAGATGGTATTGCTGGAAAATAACACTTTTTATTTCATGCATGCCATTTAGAGCTCCAGTTGAGAGAAAAGGCCTGGAGCTAATTAATGACAAGGAGAAGAATGTGAAACTTACAGGTAATGAAAATCATGATCCAACCATGACAATGTGAATTCTAAGCCAGCAGTTAGAAGTCAGTCTTCCAGTTGTGTTTTCTCTTCTATCTGCAAGAGACAGGTTTTTTCAGGGAAAGCAAAGCTTAAGGTAGGTTATAGATGCTTTGACTTAGATTTTTTTTGTCAAGGTGGTTATTAAAACTTCACTTTCTCACTCTGAGGGAAGCACCTAATTGTGTTCAAAGGGCAGGAGTAAGCAAAATGAATTTCACTTGTGTGTAAATGCGAAGCTGATCTGATCTAGACCCACTTGTATGTCTCTTCTTTAACTTCTTTCAAGTTTCTTCTTGAAAATCTCTGTTAGCATTCCAAACTATTATGAGTAGTACACCCCAACTGTGAGTAGTTTGACACTAAATAGTCTATACCCAGACATATAGGTCCCAGGCTTTGTAAATAAATTAATTATCTGCTAGGAAAAGGATAGGTAG